CACATAAAAACAAACAAAAGCAAGATACAGACAATGTAATACTGAGAGAACTTGTTTGCAGAGATCCATTAATTGCAGAGACACATTTAAACATGCTTTGTTTGGAATAAACCCATGTGTGTATAAACTGGAATCTTAGTAGCAACACCTTGATGAGCATACCTCATGTATGAAAAGTTGCAGTGCATACATATATGAGTAATGTTACTTTTCTGGTCTATGAACACTGTTTAAAATACTTATGGATTATTTGTAATAATAAAGCAGTAACTCCAGGGATCTATGAACGCAAAGCTGAGATTCAGAACTTAACTTCAGTAAAAGTTTTGGTAGTGCCTAGTTGTTCTAGTTGTCTTGGTGTGGTGCTGTCAAATAAGCACCAGACTGCAAACTGAAAGGGCAGCAGTTCAAACCCACAGCCACTCCTCAGAAACCCCATACAAGATTGTTGTGAGTTGGGACCAACTTGATGACACTTAACAGCATCAACAACAGTTGTTGTAATGAAGAGGAACATAAGTCTCCTAATTGAAAACTAAATCTTAGCAGATAAAATCTTAGCAGGTAAATTTATTAGGACCTTTCCTTCCAGCCTTCATAATGAAGCCATAGACTCTGATTTAATGTTGAGATAATTTTTGAATTATGATAATATCCTCTTTCTCCTTTTGTTCTTGCAGTTTGTGGTTTTAAAGGAACACCAAGACCTCAAGTATGGAAATCAGCCTGTGGCCCTGAAGGATGTTCAGGCAGCAGCTGTTGGTCAGTTTTCTTCTCTGGAAACTGGTAAATGATTTCTTATACCTAGGTCCTCAACATTTTCTAGTGATAAGTCTCATTTAAGCACAAAAAAACATGTTTCCATCAAGTCAACCCTAACTCACAGTGACCCCATGTTGTCAGAATAGAACCTGCTCCCTAGGGATTTCAGTCGCTGATTTTTTGGAAGCAGATTCTCAGGTCTTTCTTCTAGGGAATCTCTGGTGGACTCAAACTTCCAACCTTCAGGCTAGCAGCCTAACACTGTTTGCACCACCCAGGAAGTTCTAATCACAGGGGCAAGAACTTAACTGTGTAATTGATGTGAGCAGCTGAGCTGTCTTAAAATGGTATGGAGCTTTAGAGAAATGGATTTGGACTGGATTCCTATTTTCTGTGAGGTCACCATGTTTACTCAAAACACTGGGTTGCATAGCAGTCTGCTAGATCAATTTGTGCATGCATACAATGAGTGATTCTGGGTGGGTCCTGACATCGTTCTTGGAATTTAGGGTCTACACTGGTGGCTGTAGATATAGTGCCAGTGAAATTGGAAATGTTTGTAAAAAACCACGTTCCATGTTCCAGTAAGAGGGGTTCCTGTGAATTTTTGATCTGACGGTTGTTTTAGGGATTTGGGACTATCCGAGTCTTATCAGGGGCTCAACTTCAGCCAGATGCCTGGCAGTCTGTGATCAGCCAGCCAAGTCCCTGGGGGTGGGGGTGGGGGGAGGGGGGAATGAAGTAAATCCAGGCTCTTGGGCTGTTTTGGAATTCATTCTGTTTCTGGTAGAGATGGCTTTAGCTATCCCTTGACATAATACTTTTGCCAAGAATTTTATTATGGTAAACCTTTTAGACTTGGATATCAGATATCATATTTGTACTTCAGAAGCCAGAGGACATTGTTGAGCATGGTTTTGTATCACAAGCCTTGGGAGAGGTTTGGAAAAACACTGAGCCGATAAAAACAGTTACTCTACTAATGCAAAGCCCTTCATTTCCACTTACATTTTCTGATAGTTGTCCTTCAGAAAGCTTATTACCATAGTTTCCTCTTCAGACTTCTTGGTATCAGGAACATAGGCTTCGTGTTTTAGAAGACTCACTTTAAAGTCCCCTCTTATACTTACGTTCCCACATAGCCCAAAATAGTGAATTCTGTAGAAATGTATTGTCTAATTTGAGGAAGTTTCTGGATATTAAGATACACTTAAGAATTGAATCTTAAAACTGCAATTAACAATAGTTATATATATATGTTGTTGTTGTTATGTGCCCTGGAGTTCTGAGGCTATATATATATATAAAATCAGGAGCTCTGGTAGCGTAGTGATAACGAAGTGAACCTTAAGGTCAACAGTTCGAAACTACCAGCTGTTTAGCGGGAAAAAGATGAGGCTTTCTGCTCCCATAAAGATTTACAGCCTCAGAAACCCTGTTCAGGGTTGCTATGGGTCGGAACCGACTCAACGGCACTTAACAACAACAACAACATGCTACCAGAGTTTATCTATATCTATCTATCTATCTATCTATCTATCTATCTATCTATCTATCTATCTATACACACTGATACCGCTGTTACCTGGGTAATTAAAACATTCAACATTTTCAAAGTTATATGAATTTTTGTTATTATTGGTAGCACTATTAGAAAGCAGTATAAAAATATTGGAATATCTTATAGCTGTATTTAACTTCTTTCTCAAGGAGTAAAAACACATAGTTCTTTCTTACAAATAAAGGTAATTTATTTTATTGTTATTATTGTTCAGTGCCGTCGAGTCAGTTCCAACTCATAGACACCTGTTTAATTTCTGGAGAGCAGCTGGTGGATTTGAACTGCCGACCTTGTGGTTCACAGTACAGTGTTTACTTTACTGCACCACACCAGGAGTCCACTTCATATATAACATAATGTTGCATGTTAATGGCAAGTGTTAAATTCAGAAAAGAACTAAGGAATCACTAATTAAACCCTCTGGAGTACATTAGAAAGTCTCTCTTTTTCTTTGCTCTCTCCTTGGAAACCCTATACAGGGTCACTACGAGTTGGAGCCCACTCAACGGCACATAACAAAAACAACAACTGCAGTTTGATTCATTCTTCATGAGCTACTCATATACTGACTGTCTCCCAATATCAGTGACTGGAATCCTTGTAGATACAGCAAGGTCGGCGATTCAAACTCCCAGCTGCTCCTTGGAAACCCTATGCAAAGACGCTGTGAGTTGGAATCGACTCCACAGCACTTAACAACAATATGAGTGACCACATTACCAACCATATCCTGCTGTTTCAAAATGCCTGCAGTGAAAGTGGAGATACAGATGGGGATGAGAGTTGGGTGATATATGAAAACAAGATTTAGGATCACGAGATAAAAGGTCCTGTTAAAGAGGTACAAGATAAAAGATTGTCTCAGAGTCAATCCCTTCTCTGCTCTTGAAAAGTCATCTAAAACACAGCCAGTACCAGCATTTTTGTTGTTAGGTGCCATTGAGTCGGTACCAACTTACAGCGACCTTTATGCACAGCAGAATGGGCCAATCTCACTATTGTTGCCACGCTTGAGCCCATTGATGCTGCCACTTGGTCAATCCATCTTGCTGGGGTTTTCTTCTTTTTCTCTGACCCTCCACCCTACCAAACATGATATCCTTCTCCAGCAACTGGTCCCTGCTGACAGTATGTCTGAAGTATGATAGACGAAGTTTGGCCATCCTGGCCTCCAAGAAGCACTCTGGCTGCACTTCTTACAACACAGATCTATTGGTTCTTTTGGCAGCCCATGGTACTTTCAATTTTTTCCTCCAACACCATAACTCAAAAGCATCAATCTATTGAATCCTCTTTGTTGACTTCATTAAACGCTGAATGGAATGGGTGAGATACAGAGTTCCATGCTAATACAAGTGTGCATAAAATATGAGATCAGTTCTCAAGTCATTTGTGGCCCAGATGGGAAGACAAGACGCACACAGCAAAAGCTAAGGAGCAGTATCAGGAAGCGTATCCTCTTGAATCATCTCCATCAACCAAAATATCTTAATTTTTTAAAAATTGAGTTCAGAGATCATCTATAAAATAGATTCCTAGGATTTTGCTTCTTTGGTTGCTTTCTGTAGAACCATCTTATAAAAATAATGCATTAATTTTCTTTTTTTTGTATACATGGTTGTGTACAGCAATAAGGGTCATAATGAGAAAATATCCATAAATATTATTTCTATGAACCCAATATTTTCATTGTCTTGTTTGCCTTATTCTTCATAAGCTTAAAATTTGTTCAGAATTCCTATAAAAGAATTGAGACCTGCTTCTATTTTCTGGTCCATTACAGTTTCTGTACTATAAACACTGGACTACTAACCACAGTTCATCATTCAAACCCATTCAGCCACGCTCAGAAACCTCATTCAGGAACTGACTCAATGGTACACGACAACAACAACATTCTATAATTTACACGAATGAAGAAAAATTCTCTTCTACTATTGAAAAGAAATAATAAAATTGGGTCCAGAATGGTTTGAGATTGTGTTCATTTTGAGTGTCATGTTTCAGGCCTATTAACTAACCATCATTGTTTGGGTCTCTTTTTTCTCTTGCTGGGCATTGTGAAGCATGTGAATACTGAAATTTCTTCTTTCTTATAGGGTCATTGCAACCAACTTCCTACAGGAAGGAACCCCAGATGTGTGGAATGGACACAGAGCAAAGCTGCTGGAATCCACCATCAAGTAATAAAATCTCCCGACCCCAGGGAGTGGAGCACAACCTTCATCTACCCTTCTATGTGGCTCGGCCCATTGCTGTGGAGGTTGAGAAACCCCACTCTTCTCCTATAGGCTAAGCTTTATGGCAACAAAGGACTCCTGATCCACTATGCTAGATCCATCATAGTAAATGGAGATAACTCAGTAAAAAATTGGAATTAAAAAGGTCAAGAACAAACCATGTCAAGGAACAGTATATTTCCTTTTCAAAAGTGGAGAAAAACTATAGATTCTGGCTCCACAGAAATCTCTACAACTAATCCTGTAGATAAATATATAACTGAAATTTTGGTTCTTTCTTCAAGTAGTCCCACTACAGATTTTCAAAGAAGAATCATCAGGAGAATCACTAGGTAACTCATTAGAAACCAAAATTGAGATGGTGGTGATTTGTAAACTATGTTGTCTTTAATCATCAAATCTGTATGTAGAGTTTTCTTACCAGCAGTCCCAGAAGAAATCTGAGATTAAAACAGGCAACCACACAGGTCTGGTCAGTCATAAAGGAATTTCTTTTACCTGAACAGAACATTCAGTTCAATCTAATGAAATGGTTAAAATATTAAAATTACTATTAGGATGCATTTCAGGAATTTTGCTTACCATTGGTATTTTCCATGTAAAATTATAGAATGAATTGTGATAAATTAATGAAAAAATAACTTAGAAACTCATTTCTTGAGAGTTAGATGGCATATTTTTTTACATGAAAATCTTTAAGTGAAAACATTCTGTTTGAAAAGTATTGCCAAAGAGACTACAGTGTTTCTCAGTGATTACTTTTCTTTCTCCTACAATTTTTTTTCCCAATGAAAATGGTAACTTTGTGTGTTTGCACAGAATCTTTTACTTATTTTAAAACGTGAGATTGTAAGTAAATTACCTGATTAATTTTCTTTATGGACAATGATCATTATTATTATTATTATCTTCAAATTATTTAAATAAAATCACTATCAAATGGACATATTATTGTATATCTGGTGAAGCATTTGATTATAATCTGAGGCAGGAGTAGGGAACCTTTGATCAATTTAACAATTAGCCGCTTGAATTTGGTCAAACATTTAATTAACTCACCCTTAATGTAATGGCTGGAGTTCTGGTGTGGTGCTGTGGGTTAATGCTCCAGACTACAAAGCCATTTGAATTTCAAGGTCGGCTGTTCAAGCTGCTCCTAGGAAACCCTATACAAAGTCACTATGGGTTGGAACCAACTCAACAGCACTTAACAACAACAACAACAATGTAATGGCTGGAGTCTTGGTGTGCCATTTTGGGCTAATGCGTCAGACTGCAAAGTCGTTTGAACTTCAATGTCAGTAGTTCAAGCTCACCAGCTGCTCCTTGGAAACCCTTTACAGGGTCACTACGGGTCGGAATCGACTCGACAGCACTTAACAACAACAACAACAATGTAATGGTTAAGGATCTCTGGTAGTGTAGTGATTATGAATTGAGCTGCTAACCTCAAGGTCAGCAGTTTGAAACTACCAGCTGTTTCACGGCAGAAAGATGAGGCTTTCTGCTCCTGTAGAGATTTACATCCTTGGAAACCTTATGCAGGCTTGCTATGAGTCAGGACCAACTCCACAACACAAAACCAACCAACCAATGTGATGGCTGGAGTCCTGGTGTGGCACTGGGTTAATGCACTGGATTGCAAGGTCGGTTTGGACTGCAAGATTGGCGGTTCAAACTCACCAGCAGCTCCTCAGAAACTCCGTACAGGATCACTATGGGTTGGAAGTGATTTGACAGCAATCAACAACAACAACAACAACAATGTTGTTGGAACTACAGATGCCTTGGCAGGAGCAGAGTAAATGATTTTGTGGGCCTTATGCAGCCTATGAGTCAGTCGTTCCCCACCCCTGATCTAAGGGACATTAAAAACAAACTTACTATTGTTTGAAAGTTATCTGATTATATAAGGTAAATTTTCACATAGTGTTCTAAGTAAATATCTTTTTGTTGTTGCTAGGTGACATTGAGTCTGTTGCAACTCATAGGGACCTTATGCACAACAGATCAAAACATTGCCCAGCTTGCCCAGCCCTTTGCCATCCTCACAATCTCTGTTAAGCTTGAGGCCAGTACTGCTGCCACTGTGTGAATCCACATCATTGGGGGTCTTCCCACTTTTTCACTGACCCTCCACTTTACCTAGCATGATATCCTTCTCTAATGACTAGCGCCTCCTGATAACATATCCAAAGTATGAGAGATGAATTCTCGCCATCCTGTTTTCTAAAGCGCAGTCTGACTATACTTCTTCCAGCACAGATTAGAAGTCCGTGGTACTTTCAATAGTCTCCAACACCATAGCTCAGATGCATCAGTTCTTCTACAGTCTTCCTTATTCACTGTCCAACTTTCAGATACAATAAGAACCTAGTGAAAATACCATGGCTTGGGTGAGGCGCACCTTGGTCCTCCAACTGATATCTTTGCTCTTAAAAACTTTAAAGAAGTTTTGTGCCTAATGCAATAAGTCATTTGATTTTTGACTGCTGTTTCCAAAAATGTTGATGCAAGCAAAATGAAGTCTTTGACAACTTCAATCTTTTCTCCAATTTTCATGATCTTATACTGGGCCAGTGGTGAGGATTTTGGTTTTCTTTACATTGAAGTGCAACCCATACTGAAGGCTGTTGTCTTTGATCTTAATCAGTAAATATTTTAGGCTCTTTTTGCTTTCAGCAAGGTTATATCGTCTACATATCGCAGGTTGTTAATGAGTCTTCCTTCAACCTTGATGCCACATTCTTCTTCATATAATCCAGCTTCTGGGATTATTTGATCAGCATACAGATTAAATAAGCATGATGAAAGAATAGAACCCTGGAGCACACCTTTCCTAATTTAAAACCATTTAGTGTCTCCTTCCTCTGTTTGAACAACTGCCTATTGTCTATGCACATGAGCACAATAAGTGTTCTGGAATACTCATTCTCTGCAATGCTGTCCAAAGCTTCTCATGATCCACTCAGTTGAAAGTCTTCACATAGTCAATAAAGTACAGGTAAATATCCTCCTGATATTCTCTGCTTTCAGCCAAGAGCCACCTGATACCAGCAGTGATATTCATTATTCTGAGTTCTCCTCTGAATCTGACTTGAACCTCTGGCAGTTCCTGTTAACTGTACTGTTGCAGCCATTTTTGAAATATCTTTAGCAAAATTTTACTTGCATGTGATATTGTCTGATGATTTATGCATTCCTTTGGGCTACATCTCTTTGGAATGGGCACACGTATATAGATCTATTCTAATCAGTGGGTCAGGTAGTGATCTTCCATAGATGAATGAGTGCCTCTGGTGCTGCATCAATTGGTTGAAAGAATTTAATTTGTATTCCATCAATTCCCAGATCCTTGATCTTTGTCAATGCTGTCAGTGCACCTTGGACTTCATTCTTCAGAATCATTGGCTCTTAATCATATGCTATTTCTTGATTAGTTGAACACCACCCATTTCTTTTTTGGCACAGTGACTCTGTGGATTCTTTTCTTTTCTTTTCTTTTTTTTTTTTTTGATGTTTTCTATATCTCTCAATGTTTTGCCCATGTTGATAGTTGATCCAAGAAGAATGAAGCCCTTTTGGCATTGAGTTGTTTATGACCCATAGTGACCCTGTCTAGGGTTTCTGAGGAATGATTGGTGAGCTTGAACCACTGACACTGAATCAGTAGTTGGAAAATATGACCTTGGTGATAGAAATGATGCTGGTGAATGCATGATAGAATTCTGCAAAACCAATGATTTGTTCGTCTCAAATACCTTCTTTAGACAGCAAAAGAGATGACTATACACATGGACCTCACCAGATAGAATACATAGAAATCAAATTGACTACATCTGCGGAAAGAGATGATGGAAGAGCTCCATATCATCAGTGAAAACAAGTCCAGGGGCAGACTGTGGAACCGACTTTCAATTACTCCTATGCAAATTCAAACTGAAGCTGAAGAAAATGAAAACAAGTCCACAAGAGCCACAATATGACCTTGAATATATCCCACCTGAATTTAGAGGTCATCTGAAGAACAGATTTGATACATTAAACACTAAGGACCGAAGACCAGAAGAGTTGTGGGATAACATCAAGA